TTAAAACAACAAGTGAAGCAGGAACTTTAAAACAACAAGTGAAGCAGGAACTTTAAAACAACAAGTGAAGCAGGAACTTTAAAACAACAAGTGAAGCAGGAACTTTAAAACAACGGGTGAAGCAGGAACTTTAAAACAACAAGTGAAACAGGAACTTTAAAACAAGTGAAGCAGGAACTTTAAAACAACAGGTGAAGCAGGAACTTTAAAACAAGTGAAGCAGGAACTTTAAAACAACAAGTGGGGCTTGGAGGAAGAATGAGCCGTTCTTGAAGTCTGAGGACGTTGAACGCTGCTAGCAGAAACTAACACTGTTATTCTCTTGGAAAACTTGTAAACAATTCAGATGTTTGTTTGTTTGTTTACAGAACAAGGAAGAGTCTAAATAAAAAAGCTGCTACACCGACATGACTTTGGCGTCTGAACTCAAGCATCCCGTGTTCAGAGTGTCTCACCTCCACGAAGCCGTCCAGCAGCCTGCTCAGCACGTCTCTCCTCTTCAGTTTGCTTCTCTCCATCCCCTCCAGCTTCACGATCACAGCGTCGATCTTGGACACTATGCTGCCGATGGAGTGCTCCATCCTGTCCACCCGCCTCACCAGCCTGCAAGCAGCCAACGGTCGACGGGCGCGTCACACGCTACAGTACACGATGGTTTAAAGGAACCACTTTTCATTTTCATCTTACAACAAAAGGAAAATGTCAACATTTTTCTTACAAAAATAATAATGATAATAATTTTAAATAGATTATTTCCATTTTTCAATCTCCATTTCCTACAGCTCATCTGAAGTGTTGTGGAAGCAGCAGGTCCAGAAGAGAAGCCCCGACTTCCCCAGAAACACTTTCTAGCTTGCACTGGGAGACCCCGAGGAGTTCCCAGGCCAGAGAAGATCCACGATCCCTCCAGCAAGTTCTGGGTCTTCCTCGAGGCCTCTTACCAGTGGGACGTGCCCAGAAAACCTGTAGGGATGCGTCCAGAGGGCGTCCTGATCTGAGGAACCACCTCAACGGACTCCTTCTGATGTGGAGGAGCAGTGCTCCACTGGGAGACGGAGCTCCTCACCTTCTCTCTAAGGCTGAGCCCAGCCCGTCTACAAAGGAAGCTCCCTTTGGCTGCTTGTAGCACGGACGGACGGGCTTAGGATCGTGTTACCAGCTCATTTTGTTCTTCAGATCAGGGGTCTGGGTAAACTGGGATCATGTGCAGACAGATGTGATCAGATGGACCAGGTGTGGAGACAGAGCAGCCCTGTGCGCTTCGTGGATGTTGGTATAAACCAGATCGAGGACTCTGGATGTCAGGGCAGCAAAGTGTTTGCATTTGTACACCAGGCATTACTGGTGTAAACAACCCCCCCCAGCCCCCGCTCTTACTGGAGGCAATGGTCCTGATGGTTCGGTAAACACAGTGACCAGCGAGCTCCATGGCCGCCTCATGAACAGATGTATCCAGTTACACATGTCTCCTGATTACCACCACCAAGCTGCGGGAGGCTATCCTCCTCACAACCAGTTTGTTCACGAGGAACTGGTAATTGAAGGAACAGACTTGGAAAGACTGGTCGGTGTGGGTCGGCACAAAGCCCAGCTCGTGCACCAGACAGTGCAAACACCCACTCTACGTTCGCCCAAGAAACTTAACAAAGCTGAAGTTTTGAGCTTTGAGCCACTGAGTGTGTGCGCCGCCGTCATTCATCTGCATCATCTAAACTAAGTTCAGGAGGCATCACAAGCTAGTTGTAGACATCCAGGTGGTGTTTGCATCCAACCAAGACTGGCCTACATGTGGGTCAAACTAATGCTTTAGGCTTCTCAAGGCTTTCTGCAGCTATTTTAAAATACACAAGTGACAATAAACCATCACAGTCTGTCTGCAGCACACTTCATGCTGAACAACTGCTGCTTCTCTAGAAATGTGCAGGTATTTGAACGCATCTCATCACCTTACAGCCGGTGTAGTTCAGTATTAGTGGTGTAACGGTACACGTGGGTGTACTGAACCGTTTCGGTGCGGCATGTTCGGTCCACGTGCGTACCGTTTTGGTTATTTTTTCCACTCGTTAAATTTTATTAACGACAGATTATGCGCAGCGGAACTAAAGTTCCTACGCGTGTTTCAGCACGGTGCTATTATCTTGCAGCACACGTAGCATTAGCAGCCTAGCATCTCGTTACGATCTCCTGTTCGGGAACATTATGTCTTTCTTGTTAAAAGACCAGTGAACAAATCCAAAGCTGTGTGTGGACGTCGTTTCACGGAGACTAGATCTGCAGCAGCAACACGTCGAACTTGAAACGACATCATCCGAACGTGAACGTAGTTTGGTGCAAAGAGCGACAACAGCAGCATTTAAACAACGTTTATCAGGTGATTCAGGTCGGTCCAGAGCAACAACACAAGATGCAGGAGTTTTTAAAGCTCCGGCTCTACAGCTGAACGTTGTTGATGCGCCGCTGCCCGTGACATCACATCAACACTTCAGCCAAAAAGTTGCAGCAGCACTTTATGAAAAAGATCAAACTGATGGTCAACAAGCCCCGGACCAGATTAAAGTCCTGCCACATGATGATCATGAACGAGAGAGAATATTCAACCACCTCATGTGATGACCATGCAAGAAGCGGTATTGGATTATTGTGATCTAATTAACTTTTTTAATTTAAAATAATCTTATTAACTCAATTTTTTTTAATCTCTGTGTTGTTTGTAGTCTGAGGATGATCGCACTGAGTGTTCTTCATCCACCAGGTCACCTCCAGATAAGAACTCTGTAATGACTGAACTTGTTCACTTGGCAGATTTTCAAAATAAACATTTTGTAAATCTTTACTTTGGCCTTTTTTGTACCGAAAATGAACCGAACTGAAATGTTACCGTTGCACCCCGAGTAAGGCTCATCATCAGTTAACCTGTGTGTTCGTTACAAAGGTAAAAAGCTTCGTACACTTGAAACTCTTCGTACGAGACACCCCCCGAGCTGCTTCCGCGGCGACGAGAACTGTGACCCGAGTCCTCATCGTCGTCCTCTTCCGAGTCATCCTGAGTGCGAGGGAAGCTCCGCCCACTGCTGGGTCGAGTCAGTGAATTACGCTCCAGCTCCAAGTCCTCCTAGCACACGAGCAGAGACGGTGAGTAACTGCAGGCGTTGTGGATGTTCGTGCTCTTCTTCACAACAACTCTAGTGACTGAAGTGGAACGACACTCACTCTGTCTTTCTCCAGGTCGTCTTTCATCTGCTGGTGCTCCTGCTCCGTCAGCTCGGGGTCTCCATCCTGGTTGTACTTTGCAAAGATGGCCTGAATCGCTGCTTCTGTGGGGCCCTTTCTGAGCGAGGACGAGAAACGACACACACAAGAGCAGCAGGAAGATTCAGGATTGAACAAGACAAACGTTAGCACGTCAACGTGGTGACTAGTTCATCTCGTTTAAGAAGTTTCAGTTACCCCTTTAAATTGTGATGAAGTTCGTCAGAGTTCAGTTTCCCCCCCGCTTGCTGCTCAGTGTCGGAGAGGTCGTCGACCGCCGTCTTCTTCAGTCTTAACTTCATCAAAGCTTTGTTACAGCACTGTGGGAAAATGACACAAATACTCTGTTACATGCACACGTGCACACGTTCATACTGTTATTCTGTAGTTTTACAAACAAGGACAGAAACCGTTATGCTGCAGAAAGTTTTACGCCCATCATCTCCACTCAGACAAGTCTAAACTAACCCTGCATCAGTTACTAACAAACAAACAAACAAACAAACAAACACAGGCACAATCTAGACATGACGTCTTCTTTGGTAATTTTACAAAGTGTGTTTATAAACCGTGATCCTCTGCAACAAGATCGAACACATGAACCGGTTCTGTGCAGATCAGAAAACCCAGGGTCAGTCTAGATAAATGTACTAACATGTCACAAATCACTCCTGAAACTTTTCTCCATCACTCCATCCTGCCTGGACTCTCTTCTTCTCCTCTTCACCACACTCCCCATGTTCCTGGACAGTGGACCCCAAGTCCTTGAAGTCCTGCACCTTTGTGACCTCTGCTCCTGGTAGCCTCACTGTTCCACCTCCTCCCTCTCATTCACACACATGGACTCTGTCTTACTACGGCTGACTTTCATTCCTCTTCTTTCAAGTGCATACCTCCACCTCTCCAAGTTCTCTTCCACCTGTTCCCTGTTCTCACCACAGATCACAATGTCATCTGCAAACATCATCGTCCACGGGGATTCCTGCCTGACCTCATCTGTTAGTCGGTCCATCACCAGAGCAAACAAGAAGGGGCTCAGACCTGATCCTTGAGGCACTCCCACCTCCACCTTGAAGCTTTCTGTCACTCCTGCAGCACATCTCACCACTGTCCTGCTGTCCTCGTCCATGTCCTGCTGTCCTCGTCCATGTCCTGCTGTCCTCGTCCATGTCCTGCTGTCCTCGTCCATGTCCTGCTGTCCTCATCCATGTCCTGCTGTCCTCATCCATGTCCTGCTGTCCTCATCCATGTCCTGCTGTCCTCATAATTGCCCTGCTGTCCTCATAAATGCCCTGCTGTCCTCATAAATGCCCTGCTGTCCTCATAAATGTCCTGCTGTCCTCGTCCATGTCCTGCTGTCCTCATGCATGTCCTGCTGTCCTCATGCATGTCCTGCTGTCCTCGTACATGTCCTGCTGTCCTCATCCATGTCCTGCTGTCCTCATCCATGTCCTGTACCAGTCTAACATACTTCTCTGTAACTCCAGATGTCCTCATGAAGCGCCACATTTATTCATTTATTGTTTTAAAGCAGATGAGTAAAAGGTTCAACATAACCAAAAGTGACATTTCGTGGTATTTATGGTCAAATACAACCTCCATATATCTGACCATTTGTTTTCACATTTCTACAGATAAACTTATTTATGTGCATTATTGCTCAAAGATCAGTGTGTGTGCACGTGTACTTTAGCTGAATACCTTCTTTAGGAGATCAGTCATTTCCATCTCAGATCTCTGCTGCGACATGTCCGCCTTCACCTCAGAGTAGGTGTCATTGATGATGGCCAGGAACATGTTCTGCAAGGAGCATTTAGCACCATTTGTAACGTTGACAACAACAACAACAACAACAACCCCACCACAACAATACATACCATGAGAATAAAGAAAATGAAGAAGACAAAGGTTGTAAAATATACAGGCCCAAGCACCGGATGTGCCTCCTCCATCTCTGAGAAGTTAAAGTCACCAAGAACGATTCGGAACTGAGTAAATCTATAAAAACAAGAAAACATTTGACCGTCATGTTAAACCTGAGACGGTGATTTTTGTGGAGCGTTGCTCAGTTTGGGGGTCAGACCGACTGGCCTTACATGCTGGCTTGGAAAGTGCTGAAGTCATTGACTTGAGTTCCAAACACCAAGTAGGCCAGCTGAGCGTACGCCAGGAAGATGATGAAGAACATGATCGCAAACCCACAGAGATCTTTGGCGCAGCGGGACATGGTGCTGGTCAGCTGACTCATGGTTTGGTTAACGTTAATGAACTTGAACAACTGGTGGAAGCGAGACATTGATTATTTGAGGAGCGACGGTCTGGAGCGACATTTGAGGGAACAGGAAGTACGTGTACCTTGACCCAGGAGAAGAAGACGATAACAGCAGCCATGTTGTTAAAGTGGACCTGCAGGTCGGCCAAACGCTCAAAGCTGGCGTGAGCGGAGTAGTTCTCCAGCAGGTCATTGAGCAGGTTTCTGGCCATGGCTGTTCTGGTTATGTTCATGATGATGGCAACAACACTCAGCTATAAAACAAAACACAGTACACGATAAGTCACTGAACGCCCGCAGGAACGGTAAACTCAAGACGGCTATGGGGCAATACACACCACAACTATGAGAACATCCAGACAGTTCCACACGCTCCTGAAGTAATGCAGCCGGTGGAGGTGGATTTCCAGAACTTCTTCCACCACGTAGTAGAGGATGAACAGGCAGAATGCCACTTCACACATGCCCACAAAGTAGTCCCAGCTGGATAGATATCGTATCAGACGTACTGTCTGGAACTGCCAAGAGGTCTCCATCCCACCAGTTGCAGGGAACTCCACCAACAACCTGACAAACCAACACACTTCAAATATCCAGACACCGACGGTTCATAGCAGACCGTTTTAATAATTCCGTATCTAGACCAGTGTTTATTCTGGCTGCAGGTTAGAGTAGCTGACATACCTGGCAACACAAAAAAGATTTATGTTTCTGTTGTAGACAGAGAAGTCGAGGAAGACGGCTCTTGTGCCTCTGTCCAGCCAGAGGTGGTCTTTGAGGAACTGCAGCTGAGCGGCTGACTCCTCTCTTGTTCGAGACAAGTCCTGGTAGTATCCTCCACCTCCGTACCTCGACACCTGACCCCAGAAACTGCTGCCGTTCATCTCACTCTCCCTGGTGTACACCCACCTGGCAGACATCAAGACGGTGGTTTGTCTCCTTGTCTTTTATTTACTTTGACACCATAAGGACGACACCTCCCTTTGTTCTGTTCGTTACAAGGACAGCTAGACAAAATGCACTTCCTGCAAAAATGCAGGGCGAATGCTTATGGCAGAAGAACCTGCTGAAAAACAGCTGAAATTAGCTAAAAACATGCTGAACTGTAGATGAAATGGAAGAACAAGTCTAGATGAGCAGAACAAAGCAGAAAGAACACACACTTGCAGAATTTGGTTTAAACAGAAATTAGCAAGAAATTAGTTACAAAAGCTGAAATTAGCAAAAATATCTGAAAAGTAGCTAAATAGGCAGAAAGAAGCTTAAACTACCAGAAGGAAGTGAAAAGAGCTGAAATGAGCTAAAAAATGTGAAATTTGCCGAAAAAGCTAAATTTAACACAAAAACAGCTAAAAAGAAGCTGAAATAGCAGAAAAACCTTAAACTAGCAGAAAAAATCTGAAAGGAGCACAAGCTGAAATTAGCATAAAGAAGTTAATTTGGCTATAGCAAAAATTACCACAAAAAACTGGAACAGCTTAAATTACTAGTAGCTAAAAAGCTAGCAAGGTAGCTGAAAAGATAGAACAAGCTTAAATTAGTAGAACAAAGCAGAAAGACCATGTATATGCTGAAGGAAAAAAGCTTAAATTAGCAAAAACAAAAAAAAGCTAAAATGTTGCTTAAAAAGCTGAAAGAAGCTTAAATTACCAGAAGGAAGTGGAGAGAGCACATTTATGCTGAATTAGGCTGAAAAAAGTTTAAATGAGTGTAAAAAATTTGGAGTTAGCTGAAAAAGCTAAAATTAGCATAAAAACTGCTAAATATTAGCTGAAATAACAGAAAAAGCTGAAACGCAGAAATAATCTGAAAGGAGTATAACAAGTTGAAATGAAATTAACAGAAAGAAGTTAGAAGCACACAAATGTTGTAGTTAGCAGAACGAATCTGAAAGGAGCACAAAACAGCTGAAAGTAGCTGAAAATAGTTAAAATTTGCTGAAAGAAGCTGAAGCAGAACAAAATGTGAAAGCAGCAGTAAAAGGCTGTAAACAGATCTGAAGATCTGAAGGAGGTAAAATGAGCTCAATTCATTTTCTATGAGAAAAAAATGGCAGAAAAGGCTAAAATATTTCAAAAAGCTAAAGTTGCACCACAACCAAAACTTGTAGCAGGATTGTCCTGAAAGAGCCGAACGTTTTGATTCATGGTTTGATGAAATAGCTTAAAAACTGTGGAAGGAGAAAGACGCCTGAAAACTACTGAAGAATGATGACGTTCACACGATAAAGATGTTCTGATTGTGGAGAAGATCTGGGCGCTCTCGCGTTAAAACATTCATTCATTCAACCTTTATTAAGGTTTTTATATAACCTTTATTTGTTTAAAAGATCTCAGGAACTCCGAGTTTGGTGTCTTTTCTTACATCTCAGTGCATTCTTATTAAGCTTGGACTTACGCTGTTCCATTCTTTGGGCCAAAGGAGGCGGTGTCCTCGTTGCTCGGAGTATAAATGTTGTAGCAGTCTTGGACTTCATCCTGCAGATCCTTGTAGATGGAGCAGGACTCGTTGTGGACTCTGACCTGCCGGAGCCTCGGCACCCCGAGAAGAAGATTCTCGTAGTAGATGAGAGTCTGGTTCTCTGGGAGGCTCTTGTTGTTGTACCAAACCTCCCAGTACACGCCACTGAGGAAGGGCCCCTGTGTAAACTACACAAGTGCGTCCCTTTGGGATTAATAACGTATTTTTGAATTTAACTGAAAATTAGAATTACAAACAGAATTGGTATTTGGACATTAGAAATATATTAATGGACAAATATTATTAGATAAGTTCCTGATAGCTGAACAAGTTTTAGGACAATTACATATAAGCTGTGATCACATTATGTTATTTACAATTATGATACATTTTTAATTAAAAGCTAAATCTATGAACTTCCTATGGATTACACATTTCTTCTATAGTTTTTTAAAATAAAACACTGGTCAAATGGTTTAAAAAAGTGTTGATTGCATAAAGTTAAAGGCAAAAAAAAAAAGGTTGTAAGCTCAATCATCCCGGTAGATAACAACAAAAAAGGTCCAATCGTTTCATCTGGACCAGTTTGTTTAAGGTCGTTTTCACATCTGGTAGACTCGGTTCAGTTGGGGACCAGTATTCAGAACATCTGTTCACATTTTCAGCTGGTGCGGTTCATTCACCCTGGACTGAGTCCGTCGAGTCGACCTGTCCCCCCCCCGCCTGTAGTGGCGCTGCACCAAGAACTACTGAAGGAAACGACACACAAACCTCTGAAGAAGACACTTTATCATTTTTCAACAGTGGACTCATCATGAGCAGAAGATGAGGCAGAAGATCACGGAGAATGTTTTTCACACAAGGCGGCTGACAGCTCCGTATGAGGTCAGAGAAATGCATGTTTGTTTCGGTTGCATTTACCCAGAATGCCCTGCGCTGTAGTCCACTTCCTGCTTTTGGAGCGGTCTCTGGTCCGCTTGCTTTCACACTGCATTCGAACCGCGCTAGAGTCCACTACAACCGAACCAAGACCTAGGTTTTTAGGCGGACCAGAGTCCGCTCTTTTGGTTTGCGTCAGAGTTTGATTGCTCATTCACAGCTCCCCAAACGAACCGGACTTTCCAGGCAAACGGACTAGAGTTGGATTAAAGTGGACTAAACAGGGCTGGTGTGAATGCACCCTAATGGGCCTTTTCCACCGCTCCTCTTCAGCACGACTCGGCTCAGCTCGGAACGCTTCCGAGCCCCTTTTCACCATCACTTTTCATGGAACCGGCACGGTTTTTGGTCCCTTCTTCTCAAGGGTACCAAGCGAGCCGAGCCGGCACCAAAACGTGATGTCAGAACACTGTCGGTCACTGATTGATCAGGGGGCGGAGTCATTAGAGGGGTTTGAGAATTTTCACAACAGTCGATCCGCCATTTGAATTTACCGGTGTTCGAACTCGAGGAGCGACTGGACTTATTTTGAAGAGTTTAAAAACAATTATGACAACACCGTGGCCTAACGCTGAAGTGCAGGCGTGTTGTGTTCTTGGTGGCCGACGACAAAATTCAGAGCGAGTTAGATGGAGCTCCCCGACTGCCCCCGGTCCTCTCCACCGGAGCCCCCTCAGGCCGTGCAGGGCGTCATCTCCCTGGCTCCGAGCTCCACCGGTCACCGCGGAAGATCCTCCGTGGTGCCGACTCAGGGCTCGGCCTCCAGATCCCGGCCTTGCGTGCTCCAAGCGCCGCTGGTCCCCGCCGAGGATCATCGAGCTGCTGACCCGCAGAAGGCCGTTGCCCCGACCCCGGCCTCGTGTGCTCATGAAGGCCGAACCCCGATCCCAGCAGACGGGCGACCGGGACGGGTCTGGGACGGAGGGTGGAAACGATTTTTAAAAACGTTTCATGCATAAAAAAATAATGTATTTTTTTTAAATCAGTGAAGATTAAAATAAATAAATAAACGTTGCCAGCTTTATCATGAAATCCTGTTTTCACTTTAATGGTTATTAAATAATCTGTTAAAGTTAACTCAGCTAAAAATCATAAAAAGAAACAAAATGATTGGATCCGTCAGGATTATTTCCCTCGAACGTTTAAAGAAGAGATTCAGGCTTTAGTTCAACCCACAGATGTACAAATTACAAAACAAGAACTTTAAAGCAAAGATAAAAATAAAAATATATCCGTGAACAAGAAACAAAACCACAAATATAAACTGAAATATAAAAGTAGACACAATGAGTGCAAGTACATCAAATGATGAAGAAAACCTATAAATTTTAAATATAAATGTTT